CACTGCTTTGTGTACAGCGTTACCATGGAAACAGTTATTTTTCTAACAAACGCTCCACCTGCTGGCAGAGAATGAATGTGCATTTTCAATAAAACTGTTGTTTTGTTCAAAGTTCAAACAAATGCAAAAATCTACCCATGTTCACATAAACACACACACATATATGAAAAATGTTGAATAGGGAAAAAATAATTATTTGTGCTAAAAGCCGATCAGATGACAGGTGTGTCACAGCGTGCATCACGAGCCGTCACAAGAGAGTGCCAGAATTCAAATAAACAAGATTCCGAATATCTTTGACTTTTTTTTTTTTTAGTGGATGGTCTCATTCTGTTTGTGTATGCTACAAAGCCATGTTGTTTTTTACTACCAAGACGCAGTTTTTTGAGTGCAAGTTATTCCATAACGGACACATCAACAACTCTCCCCGAAGAAATGAGACGTAAACAAAGGAATTACCATCCATATTACAACGTTATTGTTTCGTTGGACTAAAAGTGCTCTATGGGATGTTGTTCAGTGGAACCTTACCTTTCTAACTAAACTGGGATTTACTGCAGTGGATGTTTATGACTCGTTATTACGATGAATCTGGTACATACTGCGTTTTTATAATGCATGTTTTGATGTGTACTGCTTACACAAATCTAGCAAATACATTCCTTATAAGCTTTCCATTTGAAAAACAGCGATCAATCTTTAGAATATTTAGTTTGTCAAGATTAATTATGTCCCTTTTCATTTAATCTATTTGTAAACATTGACACGTGCAAACAAAGAGCGTTCAGTGCGCCCGCATCCAGGTGCGGGTTATCAGGTTAAAAAGTCTTAAATTTGAGCTTAAAAATCCTGCAGAAACCCGGCTTTATAATGTGAGGTGCAACATGATGTATACAATCAACGCTTCATACAATATTGTTCATGTCGCATCTTATGTCATGTCAGACCTTTCAGACATATTTTCATTACACCGGCTCGTTCACCAGTAATGGCATGCAACATATGTTCACCTGTGAATACAATAACTTACCTGCTTTTAACAGGATGCTCCAGTGTTTAACTAATCATCTATCTGAACGATCGGGCTAGTGCTGCTTCCTCGAGAAAGTTTATCATTCTCACATGTGGTCAGTTTACAAGTGTTTTAAGCCATTCAAGCACAAGAAGAGCGACTTTCTCATCTTCTTGAGCCAATGCACACAAAATTGTCAGAATGGCTTTATCCATATAAACATGTATTGTTTCTGACCCGCTCTTCACCCCAAACCATCAAGTCCACGACTTCTTCCATCCGTAACGGTAGTACTTCCTCCATTTCAAAACAAGCATGCTCAAAAAGTAAAGAAATGCTTATATTACTTCACTGGCCAACAAAGCAAAATAACCCTGTGATGCCACACGCTGTGGTATTGCATGGTGTTTTTTTTTGTTTTGTTTTTTACTAAAGTGGAAATCAGTTTACTAAATGTAAACTTGACTGGCTGCTTCATTTCCACTTTAAAATGTCTAGCTCTATAGAAATGATATTTTTGAAGAATGACATGAGAGTCCTAATTAAAGTGTTTTTATTTGACATGGAGCGGGTCGCCCCGTGTGAACAGACCTCATGTTGAGATCACATAAACAAGTACAAATGCTGCCTTAAAGTGAACCTGATTCAACTTCCAAGTCATGCCATGCATGGTGTAAAAACAATACAGAAGCAGCCTAAACAAAATAAGATTTTTCTATAACATTAAAGGGATGGATCACCAAAAAATGGAAATTCTGTCTTAATTACTTACCCTCATGTCGTTCCAAACACACAAGACCTTCGTTCATCATTAGAACACAAATTAAGATAATTTTGATGTTTTAATTTTCATAGATGGTCCTTATTTTTAAAGGGATGGATAACCAAAAAATGGAAATTCTGTCTTAATTACTTACCCTCATGTCGTTCCAAACACACAAGACCTTCGTTAATCATTAGAACACAAATTAAGATAATTTTGATGTTTTAATTTTCATAGATGGTCCTTATTTTTGTTTTCTTTGTACACAAAAGTATTCTCATAGCTTCATAAAATTAAGGTTGAACCACAGATGTCACATGGATTATTTTAACAATGTCCTTAATACATTTCTGTGCCTTGACTGTGGTAGTTCCCTTTCTGGGTCAGAAAGTTAAAATAGTTCTTCAAAAATATCCTAATTTATGTTCCGAAGATGACCGAAGTTCTTACCGGTTTGGAACGACATGAGGGTGAATTCTTTAACAGTTTCACAATAAACCATGATGCTATTCCCGACATATTACAGTATTACTACAGTTTCATATTGTAAACCTTGTTAAAACTATATATGAATGCCAGGATTTGATAAATTCAGCATAGATCCTGTCCAGCATTAAGCAAAGTAAGCAACAATAACATTTATAAAGTACTTCTAAAGCGGAGTAAAAATACTTCACTACTGTACGCCTCTGCTCCCGACCATTAAAGCATATTCAAAGGTATTGTCTGGAGTCTGTCTGGTTACTACTGCGCAGCGGGTTAGTGGAGCACTAGAGGCCTTTATTCCCAAAGTAATAGTGTTCATAGGGGGCGACGTGAACTATCTCCAGAGTGAGGTGTTAACGACACGGTCAGAAGCTCCACACTACGAAATTAACAATATTAATAACACAACTTATTCATTCTTTCTCTCATTTTAGTAATGCATCAAACATTTTCTGGTGTGCCAACTTTCAAATGTATTTAATTATTACAAAAAAAAAGTAAAGTCAGCCCTACATAGGGTTGTCATGGATAAAAAATTAACCTTGTGAACCCTGTTGAGCCAAAGACAGTAATAGAAACAAAGAACAATAAACCAATCTGACTTGCATTTGGTGTTATTCCATTTTCTCTCTTTCCATAATGCACACATAAATAAACAAGTAATTCAAAACTTCTTTGGAAAACAACAAAACAGAAGAAAAAAACCTCATATATACATACATTGAAAAATCAGTTCAAAAAGAGTAATCAACGAAATCCAAAACTCTTTGCATAACTAACACTTTTCTAGAGGTACCTCGTCTACCCTGAAAATAATCCTTGAACAGCATAACAATTTTGTAAAGTAAAACTGGCAAAAAAATAATAATTCCATTAAACCAACTTTATAAGGACAGAGAACATCTTTCAGTTCAAACGTTCAATGATTCAATTCAGACTATCAGTATTTCAGTTGTAACAGTTAAAACGTTCAGTGATTCAATTCAAACTTATATTAAACAATATTAAAATACTCAATTCAGTTAAAAAAAGTTCAAAAGTCCCCGTTAAAAGATTTGGTGATTGAGCTTTCTTTTGGTTTAAAGGAAGAGAGGCTAAAGTCCGAAGAGCAACAAAAGTTCCATCCAGTATGGTTCTTTTAATTTTCCAGCTAGATCAAGAATGATTAATTTTCCCAAAAATGCAATTCAAATCATCTTAACACCGTTTAGGAGCATCACAACCATCTACCCACATAAATAGAAAATAAACAGCGAAATAGTTGTTCATCCCGTTGCATCTTTCAGGTCGCCATTATGAATCGGGAAGTTCAGAACTGTCCTTTCACCGTAGTCTTTACCAGCTCTAATCCGTAGCTAATTCACAAAGGCCTGGTTTCACAGACGGGGCTTAGACTAATCCAGGATTAGGCCATAGTTCAATTAGGACATTTAAGTAATTTTTTTATACATGCCCCTTAGAAAAAACATTACTGGTGTGCATCTTGAGACAAAACAAAGGCACTAATATATTTTAAGATCAGTCGGTGCAAGTTTCTTTCAGTTGTAACCGCTCAGACTTACATTTTAAACTGGAACTAGGCTTAAAGGGTTAGTTCACCCAAAAAATTAAAATTGGCCCATAAATTACACACCCTCAAGTCATCCTAGGTGTACTGTATATGACTTTCTTCTTTCAGACGAATCCAGTCGGAGTTATATAAAAAATTGTCTTTGATCTTTCAAGCTGTTTCATGGCACTCAGCGGGTGTTTGCATGCACCAGTCCAAAAACACTTTATTAAAATGCGCCCATCCATAAAAAAAAGTGTCTCACACGGCTCCGGGGGGTGAACAAAGGCCTTCTGTAGCGAATCGATGCGTTTTTTGTAAGAAAAATATCCATATTCAAAACGTATGACGTATGAGGCCGCTCAGAAGTGACGCACGCGGAAGCGCACGGGAGAGATCAAAACAAAACAACGGTCACTAATTAGAAGTACAAAACGAGGATTTGTAAAGAAGAATGTCGGAGGATTTCGATATAAGCCAGGAGGAGACTGGTTTTCCTTTGCTAAAGTAAGGAAACTTTGCTTCCTTTGCTCCTGTTAACAAACGTTGGTTTTCACGAGACTCACTGGCGCATGCGCAGCACTGACCTCATACGTCATCCGCCCGGAACTGCTTCCAGTGTACAACAATGAGCGCAAGCTCTGGAGGGCTGGTGTCTTACAGAGTTTGGCTCCAATTTGCCCCAATACATCTTCTGGAAGTTTAAGCTCTATACTCTGGCCCTTAAACCCCCCTTTCCAGCAGAGTTTAGCTCCCAACCTTTATCATTTAATTTGCGTTTTTGTTGTTTACGTGGAGACGGCAAATGCATCATTTTCAAAACCTTGCACTTTGAAACCCTTTTTCAAATGCTTGTGTTTTCAGGCCCCCAAAATCAGGTTGTCATGTAAATGAACTGCCAAAATTCAGAGACAGGGGTAGCTGCAGCCTGGAGCACTGGACATGCAAAAGGTGAATCGGTACAACAGAAACTACCCCTAACCCTACCCTCACACCCTGACAGACAGCTTTGTTGACCAATCATAAAGACTACCTTTCTGCACTCCCAAACCATTGCTCCAGCCTGCAGTTAATCCCTACTTGGAGAATTCAATGGTGTCATATAAAGATATTCTAAATGTATTGATCGCCGTTGTCTTGTGCCATTAAACTGCTATTCACTTTTATTTGCTTGTTTTTTTTTACCTTAGACCTACTGGCTTTGAAAGAGGAAAAAGAAATACTTAATGAAATTGGAGAGGAAGATCAACATGAGGATCTTCAAAAGACAGGAACTAGAAGTTATTTCGCTTGTTTCAGTCAACAAGGAAACTTTAAAGTCCACATGAGAATTCACACTGGAAAAAAACCTTTCACATGCACTCAGTGTGGAAAAAGTTTCACTCTTAAAATAGGTCTTAAAAGGCACATGAGAATTCACACTGGAGAAAAGCCTTACACATGCCCTCAATGTGGAAAAGGTTTCTGTCAAAATGGAAACCTTAAAGTCCACATGAGAATTCACACTGGGAAGATCTATTTCACCTGCCAACAGTGTGGGAAAAGTTTCACTCGTAAAGCAAATCATGACAGACACATGAGAATTCACACAGGAGAAAAGCTTTACACATGCCAATACTGTGGAGAGAGTTTTGCTCAACGTGAAAACCTTACTGTTCACATGAGAGTTCACACCAGAGAGAATTCTTACTTATGCTTTCAGTGTGGAAAAAGATTCCATCAACATAGAAACCTTAAAGTCCATATGAGAACTCACACTGGAAAAAAGCCTTTCACCTGTGAACAGTGTGGAAAAAGTTTCACTCGTAAATTAGGTCTTAAAAGGCACATGAGAATACACAATGGGGAAAGTCCCTTCACCTGCCAATTTTGTGGAAGAAGTTTCACTCAAAAAGGAACCCTTAACAGGCACATGGGAATTCACACTGGGGAGAAGCCTTTTTCCTGCCAACTGTGTAGAAAAACCTTCACTCGTAAAATAGGTCTTGAAAGGCACATGAGAATTCACACTGGAGAAAAGCCTTATAAATGCGCTCAATGTGGAAAAAGTTTCATTCAACATGGAAACCTGACAGTCCACATGAGAATACACAATGGAGAGAGTCCCTTCGCCTGCCAACAATGTGGAAAAAGTTTCAATCATAAAGGAAGCTTTAACCGGCACATGAGAACTCACACTGGAGAGAGGCCTTACATATGCCTTCATTGTGGAAAGACTTTCGATCAACATGGAAACCTTAATGTCCATATGAAAATTCACACTAGGGCCTGGCAATAAAACGATAATGATCACAATATGATTTTTCTTTCTTGAACAGCAGTTTACTTGCTGATCGGTCTTGCTCACACAACCATATCCAAAAGAGTGCTTGAATATAGTGAAGAACATTACATTTCTTGTTGATTTAGTTTAAAAACTGTGCTGACGCTTTTAACAGGAGAAATACTGTGCCGTGAACAATACAGTTAGAAGGCTTTTCCATGGATTTACTATAGTAACACTGCACCATGGTATTGTGGCAGAAATGTGAAAAATATATGGAATTTTACTATATTAATATAGACATGTATTGATGTATTAAAGGGGACCTATTATGCCCGTTTTTACAAGGGGCCAGATTTACTATCAGCTTGTGCCAGTGCAAACCCTCATTTGGCATTTCAAAAACTACTGTCAGGATTTACTAAAGACACACAGTGGGAAATTAGTGCTGAAAAGGCATGGACACAGTTATTTTTGTGACTCACCTTAGAGAATATGCATTTGTAGGAGTTTCCCTTTCGATCTGTAAATGTATGGGATGAGATCATTTAAATGAATTAAGCAACACAATTTACTAAGATTTGCGCTTGTCAATTCCCTGTTAGTTGCAGCATTATTTAATGCCCCAAAAAAGCATGTCTTAAAGTCCGCGTGAACCGGAAGTTGCTGCCGTCTTTATTTCAGTGAAGTGACGTATTTCCAGCTGAAACGGAATATTGAGGGTTTTATTTTTGCGCTCCTCCTCGGTCTCTTACTCCTAGCAAACTAACGGTTGGAGGGGTGTGTTTAAGGATATTCTGCCCAAGCCGTCAAACTGAAGTCATCAGAGAAGGATTGCAATTCCAGAGCGGAAGTAAATGTTCAGAATTTGAATAAAGATTACCAAGACAAAATAGTTTTTTCAGTGGATTAACTAGGCCTGGGTGATAAAACGGTATCGATATTTATCGACGGTACACCCTCTTCGATAACGATAGACATTTTTTTCGATATAGCACACGATATAGGCACGTGCTATGAGTGACGCAGTCCGCACACACAAACACGAACACATGCTGAATTGAGTGCTGTGCCTGCCTGTGACGAGGAGATTGTGGGAAAAAAAAAAGATTATTAGTCGAATTTAAAATAAACCGTTGCATTTGAATGCAAAAATAGTACAATCAAATGTTAGGTGTGCGTCAGGGAGCGTCATTAGTGGAGCGTGAGATGCGGTGATGTTATAAGTGAAGTTGTTGCATTTTAATGTTTGATAAGTCTAGCCCACAAGACTCGCAATTGCTGTGTTATTCATTCAAAATATTAGAGAAATATAGTAGCTCAATGCATAGAAGATTTTGATTAGGTTAAAACCGAAACCAAGCCATTCACACAGAACGCATATTCGGCGCATTTTTTAGACGGACAAATATGCCTGCTGCTCTCCCGTCTCACACAAGAGATGTATAGAAAGCCATGCAAAGTTAAAACAGTTTAAACTTTTAGAAAACGCGTTACGAATTTGTGGAGGTTTATTCCGTTTCACTGCATCTCATATGTTTTTAAATGCAGTCTGTGTGATGGGCGATTCGGCTCTTTGTATTAAGCAATGCATAAATACATGATGCTGTTTTGTTCATAATTGTTTATGCAATTTACGAGATTATGTTTGATTTATATGAGTTAATTTAGACGTAATGCACGTTTTTCTTTTTATAGACAGTTATTTCCTTTGCGTTGGCAATTTAATGCGCTGCATTATTTTGCTCATTGCGCTCCCCTGTAGCTTCGGGAGACAAGACAAAAGTTTCCTTCAGACCTATTTAATCTGCATATAAAACATTAGAAATGAGATATGTTTAATTTTTATTTTGTGTTTGACTGTTAAAACAAAAAATATTTGTTGTTTGTCTCAATAAATTGGGTTAATTTAAAAATACAGTGGTTAAATTTAAACTTTTTTTTTTTTATTGCTCTGTTTTAAAAAAAGTTTATACAAATGTCAATAATTATCGATACCGAACGATATGAAACATTATATCGTTGATACATTTTTTTGCCATGTCGCCCAGCCCTAGGATTAACTTGCACAGATTAATTGTTCACGTCAAGACTAGCAATGTGCGCTAGTAAAGTAAATAAAGTCAATTTTGATTTCATGCGGACTTTAAAGCAGGCAGTAATTTGTGCTGCTCTTGGTAGATTGCGCTGGTCATTATGGAAATTAGATATTGCATCTGTGTTCTTTAATGTGCACCTTGTCAGTAAATCACCTGCAGAAATTTCCCCTCCCATCTGCGCTTTTATGGAATTGCGCTCTAATGCTAATTTGCCCTGTTTAGTAAATCTGGCCCAAGATTTAATAGGAGTCTCACGTGTACCCAGAACTCAAATACCCCATGGATTTATTTAAACCATACAGTAAATGCCTCCTTTTTTTTTTTTGGTGGGAAAAAAATGTGCTGTTTTAGTTGTGTGTGTACCTTTTAAAATTAAAAATGTAATATTTGATAATCATGCATAAAGCTCTGATTTATTTTTAACCAGTGCTTAACCATCATTGTAAAACACTTTATATCATGTTCTGCTTTAATTTCAATTGGTAACATGTTCCAGAGTTGGAAACCCTTCACAGAAAAAGCTTTTTGTCCTTGTGAAGTTCTACGATACAATCCTACAATAACCACCTACTGCATTCCTTGTGCTTCTACTATAACTACCCTGTTTCTTAAGGCCCTGATATACTCAAAAAAAAAAAGTTCCACCACCAGTATACTGTTAGCAAACATCCTGACACCGCCCACTCTGATGAAAGCAACATTTAAATTAATATGTAAATATGTGCTGCACGCTTTCCTCTCGGTAACAAAATAAACACAACAAAAATGGAGAAAACAGCAAGCATTTCTATATAAAAAAGCAGCTGATCATTTCAACATGGGTATGTTTGCACGAGCTCTGCAAATTAGCACTCCTCTGAAGTCACATTCCATGTATTTACATGGCATTTTATTCTATATATTGCTTAAAAGCAATCAGCAGTATTAAACATGAAAACAGTGTCAGTGTCTCATTTCATCAGAAGCACAACTTTATTTTCTATTATAAAGCAGCTCTCCATTGTGTTCATTTATTTTTTAACCATGGACATCTCACCTTCTAAGAACTAACCCTAACCCAGACTCGAATCACTCCAAACACAGCATCAGCGGGAGAACCAAGCACTCCAAAAACTTCACCAGTAGATTCAGCGGGAGATTCAAACACTCATAGTTCGGCTTCAGCATCGAACTACCATGTGAAACGCTACTGTGTCTCATGACACCGGACATTTTTCTTTCCACTCTAACAATGACGTCACATCCCGATAAGGAATATTTAAAGGGGAAGACATATTTTATTAGCAGAGTTTATCACATGAAATTCACTACAGCATACGCACATAAACAAATTCAGTCAGAATTTAACGTTTAGCCAAATGATAATTTTCTTCTTTATATTTAATCAACCTTTTTAATCAAATAATACACAATACGGACTAATACCTATTTAAACAAGTATTAACATTTGATATAAATTGATATACACCTTTATTTGTTTCCCTGCCGCTGGCTTCAAGCGGCAGCCTCTTCCGACTTCTGGTTTTTAGCGACAGCTGACGTATGGTTTTAGTGGCAGGTACTGTTGGGTGCCACTGGCAGCCACTTCCTGCTGACAGCTGGCATTTTTTCGCTGAACCCCCCCTCTCTGTCATTGTATATGATTAAAGGTCAAAAAAGGAAACCGAAAGCGTCTAATATCTTCTACATTTATTGTTCTATTTAAATTAAATTAAGATTGTAATGGAACCTGAATAAATTTAAAATGAGTGTACTATATTTCAGATCAACACATTTGTTTTCTGTAAAACTTAGTATTTTGATACCTAACAATATTTTCTGAATTATATTTCTACATAAAGTAATACTACCATTATAAAAAAAACACATATGAGATTATTTAGCAGATTAAAATAAGCAGATTAGTGCTATCTGTTTTAGTTTAAAAAATGTATAATCACAAGCCTGATGTTATGGAGAGATGCGAGACAGAGGCATGCGGATCCATTTGCAGGCTTTATTTAACAAGAGCGTGGTCGAAACAGGCAGGGATCGATAATAGCGAACAGTGACAGGCTAGGCAAGACAGAAGAGTAATCCAGTGAGCGGGCGTGGTCGATCTCTGGCGAACAATGTCCAAACAGGGTAATCCAAAGGGTTAAGCCTGTTATACTTTCCGCATGAGCAATCCGGACGCGTACACGGACAGCGCGGACTACTTGTATTTATACTTCCGAAAGCATACGCTGATGGTCCGCTCCGCGGACGTGTTCCATACATGCGTAGTAGATCAGCTTGAACAATAAACAAACAAGTGAACAAAGAATTGCCCAGAGTTATTGCACATCTGGCTGTCTTCATATTGTTTTATAGACTGTACAGGTTCGAGTAGCAACGGGCTTCTTCACACAGCCTACGCATGCGCAGTAGCCTACTGGTCACAAAAAATGGGAGGCATGCGGATGTCCGCGCGGAGCCTCTGCGCACACTCTCCGATTACGATTTTTACATCACGCATACCATAGCGGACCCTAGCGGACTCACGGACGCGGAAAGTATAACACAGGCTTAAATCCAAGACAGGCGAAATCCAAAAACACGACTAGGCTAGACAGGGCAATGACTTGACTGAACTAGGAAACTGGCTCCGTAATAATGCTATCAGCAGAACAGTGATACATGCATACAATACTCGGCAGTAAATGGTTGTTTGAGACTGATTCTTATAGTGGGTGTAATTGGCTGCAGGTGTAAACATAATCAGTGAAATGGAGTATGGGAAATGTCCGTGGTGACGTGGAAGTCTGTGTAATATGAGAGTCAATATAATCAGAAGGCGACCTCTGGTGGCGAGCAGATGGAAGAATCCGGACCAGATTCGTGACACCTGCTCTGCTCTGATTAGTCAGATGGCCCAGGTTGTTGCAATTGGTTGCTTACAGTGGTACAACAAAATGGCAATTACCAAAACTGAATCTCAGCTTTAGAGGCTTCCTCAATCCTCAGCGGTTGTACACACTGTAAAGACAGTAACAATCTCATTGATTTTGATGTCATTTGATGTTGCAACTGTAATTCCTCTTCATCAGCATTAAGAAGTGTATGTCCAACAACAAAGTGATGTGTATATCTTTGTGTATATTTATTGAGGTCTTTTTACTGTCACGTGACCATGTATTTTGGAACCA